TTTCAATTTCCCTTTGTTGTAGAGTACTGCAGCTATATAACTAAGGGCAGAATTTATTCTCTGTATTAATATTTTTAATTATTTTAATGTTTATTTATGAGAGAGAGAGAGACAAACAGCATGAGCAGGGGGGAGTGGTTTGCAGAGACAGAGGGAGACACAGAATCCGAAGCAGGATCCAGGCTCTAAGCTGTCAGCACAGAGTCCTATGCGGGGCTCAAACTCACAAACCGACCTGAGCTGAAATCGGACGATTAACTGACTGAACCACCAGGGTGCCCCAATCTGTATTGATATTTTTTAAACTCCATTTACATTCAGTAATATAAATGCTGTAAATTAGGCACCATTTTTTTTTTTTTTAAATTTTTTTTTTTTCAACTTTTTTATTTATTTTTGGGACAGAGAGAGACAGAGCATGAACGGGGGAGGGGCAGAGAGAGAGGGAGACACAGAATCGGAAACAGGCTCCAGGCTCCGAGCCATCAGCCCAGAGCGTGACGCGGGGCTCGAACTCACGGACCGCGAGATCGTGACCTGGCTGAAGTCGGACGCTTAACCGACTGCGCCACCCAGGCGCCCCAATTAGGCACCATTTTAATTGATGACACAGCAAACTTTTTTTTTAAATGAGTATTACTGTGGTATCCCTGTTAAAAAGACTGAAAGTTGACTTTTTCCCCCCAAATCACTGCCATATCTTCAGTTGATATAGAATATGAGGTATTTGTATGGGAAACTATTATGTCTATAAAAGAATGAAAGTTGTTTACTGTTAAATGTTAGGAAGTTGCTGTGACTAAGAGGGAAGTAAATGTTTTAAGAGGTTCATTGAAAGGGCATTTTAATGATTAACTCTCCTACACCAGTCAGGTTTAGTACCTTATTTAAAGTTTAGAGATTTCTTCCTTTGTTGTTGTTTTTCATTAACTTTAATGTTTTAAAACTCGCCACACATTAGGCAGACAATGGTGCCATGCTAAAATGAGCTATTGTCTGTGGGTTTCGATCATTTCTTCTGTTCGTTCATGTGTTTAGTGATTCAACAGAATCTAATACATTTCAGAGTTAATACAGAACTATCAAGTTTTTCCCGAAAGGCTGGTTGGCTTTTGTAATCACAAGGGCACCCAGTCAAGGGACAAGTTGGAAGTGAAATCTAGGTCATGGTCCACTTGCCTTGGAGTGAGGCTGTGTCTGCGCGGAGTTGGGGGCAACGTTTACTGGTCTGGCTAAGTCACAAAAAGTTGTGTTTTCTCCCCCCCCCCCCATTTACATAAAGGGGCATATAGGTTAATGTCAACCTTGTTCTAAGAAAAATAGAGATGGTAAGATCCTAGACCTTCAGTTTCTTGAGGAAATATGGTGTGTGTGAGCACGTGTGTAAGCATGCACGCTTTGTGTGTTTGGGGGACGCAGCAGGAAGAAAAAAGAAGCAACTTTATGCCAAAGGACGTTTTAAAAGTCTCAATGAATAAAATTCGATTATTACATCAGAGATGGTTTTCCTATTTTATTTTTCAGAAGAGGACTGGCAGAAGGATCTGGAAAGCACAGTTCCGTTGTGAAAAGCGAAGATCCTTTACCTACACATTTTACAAGAAATGTGCAGAAAGCCATTGATAAATATGCCTGGTAAGAATTAGCTTGTTCAATGCTTCTGATTGCAAAACCAAAACGTTCCCATAATGAATACAGGAAGCAGAATCAGTGATTGGCCATGCATTTCTAAAAGTAAAAAACAAAACAAAACAAAAAAGCAGTTTTGTTTGTAGTGTCGGGAGATGCTACACTGCATGAATGTTTTAGAATCAGTTTTAAAAGCAGCTCAGAGAAGGAGAACCACCTCCCGTATAACCTCTTCCCACTTTGCCTGCATGTGTCTCTGCAGTGGATCCGTATCATCGTTGCCATCGAGTGGAAGGCCCACGCCTGCAGGTGCCCACAACTCTTGGTCTGGGTCTGGCACACAGACTTCCACCACTGGCTTGTCAACGGAGAGGAGCTCCATTTACTCCTGGAGAGATGACGTAGGTTTCAGAATCTTTTGTGCAATTCTGTGCTTACAATTTATGATGAAGAATTGCTTTCTTTACTTTTGAAAAAAAATTTTTTAATGTTTATTTATTCTTGAGAGACAGAGAGCGTGAGCAGGGGAGGGGCAGAGAGAGAGAGAGGGAGACACAGAATCCGAAGCAGGCTCTGGGCTCTGAACTGTCAGCACAGAGCCTGACGCAGGGCCCGAACCCACAAACCGTGAGATCGTGACCTGAGCCAAAGTCGGATGCTTAAGTGACTGAACCACCCAGGTGCCCCAAGAGTTGTTTTTTTTTTTTTTTTTTAAGTTATTTTGAGAGAGAGAGACAGAGCAGGGGAGGGGCTGAGAGAGGAGGAGACCCAGAATCCAAAGCAGACTCCAGTCTCCAGGTTGTCAGCACAGAGCCTGACATGGGGCTTCAACCCACAAACCGTGAGATCGTGACCTGAGCCAAAGTCGGATACTTAAGCGACTGAACCACCCAGGTGCCCCAAGAGTTTTTTTTTTTTTTTTTTTAATTTATTTTGAGAGAGAGAGACAGAGCAGGGGAGGGGCAGAGAGAGGAGGAGACCCAGAATCCAAAGCAGGCTCCAGTCTCCAAGTTGTCAGCACAGAGCCTGACATGGGGCTTGAACCCACAAACTGTGAGATCACGACCTGAGCCAAAGTCAGACGCTTAACTGACTGAGCCACCCAGGTGCCTCATTTTCTTATTTTTAAATAAACTTTTTACCAACTTTGAAAGATATACATACATCCATATGAACCTATTTACATGTCACATGGAAAAACTTAAAAATACAGAAAATATTAGGAAAAATAAAAATCACTCATAATCTCATAACCCAGAATCTTAGCTGTTGAGAATTTTGGTTTTGTTTTCCACTTCCCAACCCTCCCCCTCCATGTTATAAATGATCTCTTGTATCCTGTCTATGGCTGGAAATTCAGGACAGGCTTTGACAATCAGGAACTTAAATACTAGAAAAATGTGGAGAAGTAAAGACTGTACAGAATCATCGATGATGAGGGAATTTCCCACCAGCATTCTAAATTTTTATTTTTAACATCTACTTATTTTTGAGAGAGAGACAGAGACAGAGCACGAGTGGAGGAGGGGCAGAGAGAGGGAGACACAGAATCCGAAGCAGGCTCCAGGCTCTGAGCTGTCAGCACAGAGCCTGATGTGGGGCTCGAACTCACGGACTGTGAGATCATGACCTGAGCTGAAGTCAGACGCTCAACCCACTGAGCTACTCAGGCACACCCCCCCCCCCCCCCACCGGTATTCTAAATCAAATCTTTTACTCTCACCTCCAATCCTGGCAGAAGCTGGTAACTTTAACCCTCTTTTGGCTCTCTTCGGGAGTGGGATTCTTAGCTGTGTGAACGTGAGCCTCCAGCTCTGGCTTTTGTTGGGGGCTCTGCCCACCACGGTCTCCCACCCCTCTCTCCCCTCCAGGACCCCGAGAATAGGGAACGGGGGCAATGGCTGCGGAAGAGCCTCCAGTGCTGGGTCCTGCTCTTTTTTTGTTTTGCGTTCCGGCTTCCTTTGCTTTCTTTCGAAGCAGTTGGCCACTCGACAGGCACACGTGGGTCCGCTTCCTTGGCCGGGGGAATAGCTGGGCCTCTCTCACAGCGGTGAGAGGGACACGGAAAAGAGTCAGCTCCCGATCACTCAGGACTTTTCAGACAAGGCGGGACTCCTGCACCTGCGATGAACAGCCCCTGCCCTCACTCTTGTGCCTCTGCAGGTGGGAAGAAGGCTGAGGACCCTTGCTTCATAGTGTCCCAAGTTCCGCGATTCTTTCGGCACATGTTTTCGTGTAATTATCCAGAGAGATTCTTGGGGCTTCTGTTTCAAGAGTTGAAATTACATCAGGCCCTACAGTTGCTCTTTGTTTAAAAACTTTAACGTACCGGGGCACCTGCGTGGCTCAGTCGGTCGAGCGTCCGACTTCGGCTCAGATCATGATCTCACGGTTCCGTGAGTTCAAGCCCCACGTTGGGCTGTGTGCTGACAGCTTGGAGCCTTCAGGTTCTGTGTGTGTATCTCTCTCTCTCTGCCCCTCCCCGCTTACACTCTGTCTCTCTCTCTCTCTCTCCTTCAGAAATAAATAAACATTAAAAAAATAATAATAAAAAAATTTTTAACTTACTTTTTTGATAGGTAATATTTGCAATAAGCAACAAAAGCCAAAAGAGAAAATTGAAAGTAAGCCTTTCTCCATGCCTCGGTCCCCCAGTCCCCTCCCGGGAGGAGAATATTAGTAGTTTGTTACCCTATTTGCATTTTAAAAGAATTCAGCTCCCCTGCTGTAGCGGGAATGTAGTTTGTTATCAGTTTAAGGGAAGAAGCACAACAGAAAACACTGAACAGCGTTCTGTGAAAATCAACCAGACCTGACCATCTTGGGTCAGGTGTATCGAAGTGAATGTGCACCTGCTGCTGAGTTGTGGGTTCGATTTCAGGTTCCATCATCCCTAGAGGGTACATGGCCCTTTCTGTAATGACTGCAAAGTCCACATTCTTGTTGTCATGTTGTACTCCTGCTAAATAAGGAGCACTTTAAATGTGTGTTACTGATTATGAAGGCCTCACGTCTGCAACTTTTATTTTTTATTTTTCGTTTCATTTTTATTTTTTAAAACTTATTTATTTTTGAGAGCGAGAGAGAGAGAGAGAGACAGAGTGCAAGCAGGGGAGGGGCAGAGAGAGAGGGAGACACAGAATCCGAAGCAGGCTCCAGGCTGTCAGCACAGAGCCCGACGCGGGGTTTGAACTCATGAACTGCGAGATCATGGCCTGAGCCAAAGTCGGACACTTAACCGGCTGAGCCACCCAGGCTCCCGTCGTAGTTCTGCAACTTTTCGTCTTGCTACTGAATGTGCATTTCTGTTCTAGGACTTTGACAAAGCCAATGCGCAGAAAGTACAGCAGCTATTCTGGGAGGTGGAAGAAATGTTGTTCGAAGGGAAAGTAAGCCCTCAGACTCAGAATCTAGTGGCCGAATGCAGCGAGTGGGCAAGAAGATCCCTCCATCTGAGGTAGGGAAGTTGTTCCACGGTAATGCTCTGGAATGGGTTTTGGATCCACCTGCTTACTCCTGACCTGGTTGATACAGTTCGTATATTTTGACTGAAAGCAATTGCCTGATCAAAGTATGTATCCAGAACACATGTCTTAATTGAGAAAGCATAGTCTTTGAAATGGTGTGTGAGGGAATGTTGGGACATTCCAGTGCCTAATTTGTGAGAAGCAAATCTCGCTCATTTTCAGAAAGGCCTTGCGTACGTGACAAATACAGGAATGGGCCGAAACGAGCCTTTACCTTTCACCTTCACTACTTTGTGAGCAACACGTCAGCCTTCAGAGCTGAGAACAGTCTTTGGGGTCGGGGTGGGGGAGGAACAGAGTAATCATTTGCCAAGTGATTGAATAGCTGAATTTTACTAACTCATCCAGATTCCTTATGAGAGAGGATAGCTTATTTTTTTTTTTAATTTGTCTTAATGTTTATTTATTTTTGAGAGACAGAGAGAGTACAGGTTGGGGAGGAACAGAGAGAGAGGGAGACACAGAATCCGAAGCGGGCTCCAGGCTCTGAGCTGTCAGCACAGAGCCCAACGTGGGGCTCGAACCCATGAACCGTGAGATCATGACCTGAGCCGAAGTCGGATGCTCAACTGACTGAGCCACCCAGGTGCCCCAACGATAGCTCAGTGTGTAATAGCAAAGCTGGAGAATATAGATTGGGTATGGAGAAAAGCTTTTCTTCCTTCAATTATTCCTAAGCCAGATGCACTTAGGAGAAAAATCCATCTCACTTATCTGAAGTTCCTTTGTATTACATCTGGAGAGAACAGATTAGATAGAACACCCCGACAAATGTAGAGGGATTTTCTGGTTACCTCAAGTAGGTAACTTAAAAGAAATCTTGACTCGGTCGTTTTTAAATCTTCTCTATTCCGCCCTTCATCAGCCCTCTGTCTTGAAGGGCATAGCACGCCCACTGGTACTCATTGTGGGTGCTGACTTTTCTAGCACAGGGCAGTCACCCAAGAGCCAGGAGCTCAGACCTGCCCCCACCACTCCTGTCTTAAATAGTTCAGACGAAAATGAAGGAGGGGAGGGTGGAAAAAGGAAAGACTGCAAGGAATATAAGCCTGGTGTATATATATTTATATAGGTTTATTCATTACGTGGATATTAGTTAACATGCATAGAGAGCCCCTGTGTGCCCAGCCTTACCCTAGATGTCTGGCTCTGGCATCTCTAAGCCAGGCCCCTGAGCCCTACAGGTGACTATTAGTATCTCTTTCATACAAAAAACAAACCAGTGAAATCGGTGGCTCAGAGAGCCCGAGAACTTTGCCTCCGATCTTTGCGTCAGTGGCGAGAACAGCCCGTCCTGCGCCCTCGAAGCCTGTGCTTTTTCCGTGACACCATCGTGCTTCTCGTGGACCGGCATGTGCCTCGTCACTTCATACACGCGCCTTCAAAGCGTCATTTCATCTGACTTGGAACACTGCAAAACGTGTTGGCCTTTTTCCGAATCAAAAGTGTTAGTAATTTCCCATCTTTTTTCTTTTTTCTTTCTTTCTTTCTCACCCCC